GAGAACACTAAGTGAAAATACAGGGCAGAGAGATGTGTGTAGTATGAGTGCATATTTATTTAAAAGCAGGTGGGTAGAAGAACTCTGAATTTGTGCATCTGTGTATATACATATGTTTGTATAAGGGCCTTAGACCCCAGGACCACACATCACACTTGCATATCCCAGTGGTTAGGTTGAAGTAGGGCAGGAGCCATGCATCTCTCTTATGTGTGTCTTTATACACATTGATCGTCCTTAATCCAAAAACCTGAAATTGAAAAAGGTTTCAGGTTTTGAAGCATTTTGGATTTCAGATTTTCAGGTTAACGATGCTCAACTGGTAAAATCTATATAAATATTCCAAAATCTGTTCAAGTTTGGGGTACTTCTGATTCTAAGCTTTTAGGTAAGTGATACTCAATGTATGTTGATTTAAAATTTCCTAAGTTGAGCTAGACTCCACATACTATATGATGCACTCTTCTAAAAAGCATGCAGTTCAGTAGGTTTTAGGGTATTCACAAGGTTTTATAACCATGGCCACTGTCTTATTCCAGTGGAGTTGACTTTCTGCTTTCATGTGAAAGAGGTACAGAAATTTTATCAGCCATGTTAACAGAATGAAAATAAATTTTACTTTTCCATTGCTCTAGGTGTTAATGTCTTGTGACCTACTCACTAAGTTGTAGCAGGTGACATCCTCTGTGGCCCTGGGGAAGAATGCCTGTCCCTTTGCTCTGTACCATGTGTGCTAGGTTAAAGGCAGTGTAAAATCCGCTGTCTTATTTTGGCAACTCTCAGGCCAGCCATGAGACTGAACTCTTCTTCATGTTTCCTAGTCATTTGCCTCTCATGCATCTTTTTTCTTTTAGCTGTGGACTGACTACTGTCCTTTGCCTATTGTCCATGGCCCACTGGTCATGGCCTCAGCCATTTGCTGACTATTTCCTTCTGCATCTGGCCTTTTTGTGACTGAATATTGAATTAATACATTGTAGTTTACCTCTGGATGCTGCTTTGACCATTGAACCTAAATCTGCTTGCCTGTTTAGCGTGTGTACGATGAAGAACTGGAGGAGCCGGTGCTCAAGGTGGAGGCAGAGAAGACAGAACAGGTACTTGGGTTCAGTCCCTCCTTGCATAAGTTCTTGACTTAGAGAAGAGCAGCAGCTGAGACTCGTGATGTGTCTTGTGGGGGTGGTGGCAGGGAAACCAGGTGACTTTTGACAGCAGCCCAATTGAACGCCTTCGTTTCTTCCTGAAAGTTAGCATATTGAGTAACAGGTAGATTGAATTCCTGAATTCTGGCTTAAGAATAGAGAAAAGTCAGTAGACTTTTTCCATAAAGGGCCAGATAGTAAATTCTACAGGTTTCATAAGCTGCAAAACCTGCCTCTTCTTCCTTGTACTCCTCTTCACCTTCTTCCTGCTCTCTTCCCCACCTATCTCTCGTCCCCTCATCCTTTTTCTCCTTCCTCTTTCTTCTCCTTTCAACCCTTTAAAAATAAGGCAGCCATTCTTGACCATTACTAAAAGAGGCTCTGGGCTACAGTTTGCCAACTCTGAAATAGAATATTATGTAGGTGAGTCCTTTAAACCAAATATCTCTGTTCCTTTCGTGCCTGCTTTGACTCTTCTGCCTATCGAAGTGACAGGAAGGTGACTGAATCTGGTTTAGTGTACAAATGTGACTACCCCTGGTGTGCCACAGGATGTGTTGGTACAGTGTGAACTGTGCAGGGAGCAGTTACTGACTTTAGTCACACTGCAGGAGGGAGGGGGAGTAGGACACTTTGACTCTAGTTTGAGAGAGGGTCTTCCTGAGTTGCCCAGGCTGGCCTTGAACTTGTAATTCTCCTGCCTCAGCCTCCCAAGTAGTTGTGATTACAGGCATCTGCCACCACACCTGAATTGTCAGTATTTTTAATTGGGATTTGTTTAAAGTGTGAGAACATTGCAGTGTTTCCATGGGGTGCTGTCAGTATGTAGACATCCACACTGAGTGATGTTTTGTTTCCAGGAAAAGACCCGAGAACAAAAAGAAGTAGATCTGATTCCTAAAGTCCAGGAGGCCGTGAACTACGGTTTACAAGTACTGGACAGT